AGTAAAAGAGCTGTAATTAGCTACATAAGAAGGTACAAATCATCACTATCCCCCTGGAAATTGGAAATTGCATAGTTTCCATTCCACACTGTGCACATGGCAGTGACACACCTGTGCCCCAATGGTGTGGTGCATGCAAGCAGTGCCCTCCACTACTTAGTACTGAGTTACTCAACCCTTGTGTGGTGGTAGGAGGAAATGAGATACATTGTGCTACTGGGCTTAGAGCATTTCATATGTCTCCTGTAGGGTGCACACTGGAGTAAGAATATATCAGTGCAAGTGGTCTGTTTTACAGGGTAACTTTCAAGTACTTACCTTGCTATCCCAAAATATTGGAAAAGATGGTGTTATATTGTGTCTTTTTCTTCATACACCATTTGGCTATATATAAATTTTCATTCCATAAAGGAAAATGTAAGAAAGAGAAACACTGTTGCTGCAAAAGGCAAAAAGATATATGAGAATTCTTATTGCTCAGTACATGACAGAAGTTATTCAAACTTAGTATAAAAAGTAATAAGTTTTATGGTGAATTATGGAGGTCCATTCAGAATTGGATAGTGTTTTCCATACAGGCAAAATCGACTAAGAAATCACTGCAAAAAGAATCCCATATGTAGTTAGTTCCTCTGACTTACCATTTATAATCTACAAAAGCAAGTCCATATTAAGATGAAATATTTCCCCATACTCACCAAGGTGTTTTGCTGAACTGCTGATGCTCACAGTAGCTTTATTTTGACCAGTTCTGATTTTTATTTTTAATGTTTCATTTTCCTTTTCATAATACTGCAGCTGCAATTTGTTTGATGTTTGATTCAAGACAATTTAACATGTTAACATGACCATCTCTTTATTGTGCAACATATGTAAAGCTTGAGGGGGAAAGATTTGTATATATTTTGATATAACAGCAATATCCATAGATGATGAAGAAATTTTAAAGATATCATTTTCACAAAAGTGCATATTTGGTAAACTGGTGCTAAGATATATTCCACAATAGAAGATATTTATGCTTCATCAAGCAAAAAACTGAAAGGCTCCCGAAGAAACCTTGCCTGTCTCAGATTGACACTGTTTACCATACTGGAAATGATAATATGTGTAAGCAGACTACATGTTTTGCCCCATCATAGGAGGTACTTTTAACTATTCCTTTTTTCTATGACATTTTACACTATACAGGGAAGAATTTGTATGTGAAAGAAGGGCCTAAAAATTGGTTTCAAAGGAGTGCACTGATGATGATAAAGTATTTAGCAGGATTATGTAGTTGTGGGGAAAATGGATAATAGAGAATGTCTGGAAAACCCAAATTATGATTTTGCTGGTACAATACAGTATTTGAAGCAAATTTATGAAGAGTTATTACCTAAATGTAGTATACTGTATAGCTCAGAGAGAAAAGAGTACATGACAGAAAAAATGGGGTTACAAGAGAATGCGCAGGAAGGGAAAATGTACTTTCAAATATATAAATGACTATATGACAATTTTCCAAGCGATATATTATCAATAACAAGTAAATACTTGTGAGTCTCCTAATGTGAATATAAAATTTTGTAGGTTGGAAGGTAAATAAGTAGATTTATTGTGTACAAAAATTACTGATAATTTGATTTCATAGAGTAGGTGATGGGTAGAATAGTGAAACACATTTTAGTGAACCTTAGCTTAAGTAGCTAGTCATATTATAGCACTGCATTCCACTCATGGAATGTGATGAGCCTTTGACAGCAGCTCATTATTTTTAATTACATTGGAATGATAGGCAGTGGGAGTTATGAACTTTTTGGTGATTAGATTAAGAGATCTACAGCAACCTCAGTCATCCTTCTTTCCTGTGACAGCATTGATACCAGGAATGTATAATTTGAGTGTGCTGTTGTTCTTTTTAGGTGTGCGGATTAACTTCTTAGTGTTTCAGAGTGTCAAGAAAATTTGGAAAAGAATATGAAATGTATTGTTTGTCTTTTTTTTTCCTCTTCCTTTTAAGATGTTCCATTTTTTCTCTCTGCTCGTGTGCAGTAGATAGTTACCATACTAGAGCCTTTATAATCTTTTCTCCCTTTTTTGCTAAGGTTATCGTGCAGTTACTAATATTAAGAAGCTGTCCTGTATTGCAGATTTTTCTTTTGTTTTTCTTTTCTTTTCTTTTCTGTGATATAGGAGGGCATCTTAGGATTGTGTATTTCTTGTTGGCTGAGCTTGGCATGGCTACTTCTGTGTCAATTGTGTGTTTTTATTTTGTGCTGTCGTTAATGTTTCCAGAATAGTAACAAACCCAGGGGATAATGATTAAGATTTCACTCAGCAGAATCTGAAGTGAGACAAATATTAACAGATACAAGTGCAGACGTCAGCGGAGCAAAATGCAGCAGTCAATGAGGCTGTCACGTTAGCCAGGGCTGATAAGGACAAGTTGCAGGAACAGTTGCAGGGAACACTGGACTTGCAGGCCCACAAACTCTCAGATGCCCACGTGAAAATTGAA